CAATGCCCCTTCTCTTGGCAATAAAAGCAAATTAACTCCTTTTGGAATAGGACATGGAACTACTTCATACATCGCCTTTCTCTTATGATAAATCTTTTCAATCATAGCATGTCTTTCATTGCCATTGTCTATATCCATAGAGGTCTTGAAGGCAGATTCACCAATCAACTTTGCTTTTCTATTGCGCCAAACCATTGCTGATTCAGCAGCAATAAGCATATAGGTGAGATCTATAAGGGTCACGTCGCGGTTCATCATATAGTACTCTCTTACAAACTTACTATATGAGTTAGGAAGTGATTGAAGAACCCAATCAACAGCAATCTCTTCACCGACAACGGATCCCATCATTCTTAACCTATCAATGTGTGACTTCATCCCTAAGACGTGTGCACACACCGACTTGCCCTCTTTATGTTTACTTGCCAAAAGGGCTTAAGTGATATTGAACCTTTCAATTTTACAATCTTGTGGGTTAGGGAGAATAATTGGAGGAGGAGGAGGAAGTGAAGCATGATTTCTTGTTCCTCGATCGAATCGTGGAATATCATCTTCATGTGGAATGCTTGTTCCACGGGATTTGAGAAGACCATAGTTGTCGAACTTTGACATCGGGAGAAAAACGAATTCAAGTTAGTTGATTGATTGAGTCCTTGGTAAATCACCCAAATGAAATTCCAAGGCTAGGACCCAACACAATATTCTACAACTCGGGAGAGGGATGCCGTAACCCAAATTGAAGAACATTTGAAGGTAAGTGAATGACGATTCACTAATTTCCACCATGAAAAACGAAAAATAATTTTAAGTTTTAAATCTATGAAAACTCCTAGATCGTTTGAGATTCATTGAATATTTCAATGGCATGTTTAAATCTCGATATGCCCCTCTTGTTTGTGACTGGGATGCCGAGGATCACAAAGCGGGTGTGAATAACCATGCAAACTTACATGGTGCCCTCACATGTTACAATCACCTATTCGATGTGCCGGTAAACCACACACGCTCCACCAAACTATGACAAACATTGAGTCACCCTTTGCTACCTTTGCTTAGAACCATTTAGTGTGCCGGTAAACCACACACGCTCCACTAACGTCTTCGCAAGGGCACAAAGTGTAATTTCATGGAATTGCATCAATTCACTTTTGCCTAAGTAACTAAGATTGGGAATTTGAAAAACATTTAGTTACTTTGTATTTCATTATACTTATAATGGAAGGTTTTGTCCTATCCTACCCGTTCGGCTAACGACCCTCTACTAGTCAAGAGTGCGGTGGGTAAGAGTGGATACCCATTCAATCGCCATTTTATAGGCAATTTCCTTAAACACCCCTTATAGACCAGCTTCGTGAATGAGGCCTACTAACGGTAAGACTGACTTTTACTCATACATATATATAATGTTAGACTTTTAATGTTATATATATAGTATAGGGTGTATTTTACACTTTTAAAATACTATGTGGTTAAGTTTAACAATTATTCAATTAAATGGTTAACCTAAACTTTTATGGATTTATTAAATCTCTTTTAATTATACTCCTTAATTAATTAATAAAACCATAAGGGTGTATTTGAACTTTTCAAAATATTACTAGGGTTTTAGAATTTAACATTCCTAATTAACTTTTAATCAACTTTTAAATTCCAAAACTTGAGGGCAAGTTTTGAAACCTTTTTCAAAACATTAGGGTTTTAACTATTTAAATTTCAAAACTTCAAAAACTTTTGGGTTCAAATTTAAACTATAAAACATAAAGGGGAAAATATGAAACTTTTCATAACAACAAGGATCAAATAACAAATAATCTAAACCAACATTTAATTACATAATTATCCATATTTGATTTGTTTAATGATTTCTATCAAAACAATTTATCAATTTACTCAAAATAATTAATCAATTATCTTATAAGGAAACAATTATCTTATTAATTGATAATTATCTTTAATTAGATCAAGAATATAGTCATATATATATATATATCATAAAATCGAATTTCTATTGATCTAATATGATAAGGTAATTATCCTAATGCAAAAACAGCAAGAAAGCCCGAGATAAGAATAATCTGACGAGTTGACTCGTCGAGTCAGGCATGGACTCGTCGAGTCTGCATGGACTCGGCGAGTTCAGCCATGGACTTGGCGAGTCCAGCCTCCAGAATCCAAAAAATCAAATTTTCCAGTTATACAATGCATCAATACAATTGAAACCAAGCTAGGTTCTGATACCACTGGTGGGTTTTGGTCATAAGACATCCTATGTGCTCATATAAACCCTACTGCTTGGATCTAGGTTTCTCTATTGTACATGCTTTGAATCCAAGACTATAAACCCTAATTCTAGCATACAAGTAATCATATTAATATGTAATTAGGTTTAAGATCATACCTTGATTGTTATGTAGCAATAACAATCCCAATTCCTCATTGAATTGACTTTGGAAGGCTTAGAGTCACAAGTGTCACTCCTCTAATGGTTCACAAACACCATAAGCAAGAGGATGAAGAGGAGAGAGGTTGGAGGCTGCCAAAAACGTGTGTAAACCCTTACAAGAAGCTTAGCCATGTTTTTGAGCCTTAATGGGTCTTTATATAGTTGGGCTATTAGGGTTATCTAACAAGGAAACCCTAATTTGGATGCTTAAGCCCTAAGCAACCCATAGACTCCTTTAATTAAGCCCATGGACAGTTTCCTTATGGGTTTCCCATTAGAATTCGTCCATCCCTTAATATAAGGCAATCCATGGCCCAAATTGCAATTATCTTATAATTACAATTCCAGTCTCTTAAGTTTAATTAATCTCTTTTAGTCACAAAACTAATTACCAATTAATTATTGACTAATATTAATTAAACAATATGATTTCTCCTTTAATATATTATTCTCATAATACATTAATAAATCATATTTAATCCTTACTCTCCATAATTCATCCTATCAAGTTGCTTTGGTGAAGGCAACCCAAAAGGACCATGCACCATCGGGTCAAGTACATACCAAAATAGTTATGGACTTAGACACTAATCCAACAAAAGGGACCCAAACTTTATTAAAAAGGACCAAAACACCAATACATCTTAGATCTGAAGATTAAACGCAATAAAGCTTGGATCTTTATGACTTACAAAGGTATATAAGATGAATGACAACTGTTCTTTTATGTAACAAAGCTTCCAATGCCAATATTTCAAGAACTTCTCACAAAAGAACAAAGAAGTGCATTAAAAATGGATGAGATGAGAGAAGATGAGCTTAAATCCCATAAAGATGGACTAGGGTTTCTTAAGGGTCGATATAGGGTTGATGAAGGGTGAGAATGATTGAACCCTATGAGTTTGACGTGCCTTAAATAGTCCCAAAAAAACCCAAATGAGTCATTAAACCTACGGGCCTGGGCTCTATGCACCTTCAGTATAATTCTCCATTTTTTTCAATTTTTTGCGATTAATTTCTTCAAGCTTCGATCTTCACTTCTACCTTTCTTTGGACTTTAAAACCACCGATCAAAGTATGAGAGAAGCATAATCGAAAGTCCGATGTTACAATCATTTAGGGTGAGGATCAACGTTTATAACTTTTGTATCTACAAATTTATCCGGTTCAACAACCATTGCATGAATCTTAAATACTCAAATAGACTGTAATACCATTGCCTAAAATAATGACACAACCTTTTAAAGTGTACCATTTTCCTTATATTTTAACATGGTTTGTACCATTTTTTGAAGTCCATAATCTCTTTGGTTGTTGAGTCAACAATTACCCTTGTCCCCAAAAAAGTAGTTACTCACCACAACATGGCATGTAACAACCATGAACAGACATACCATGACAAATTTATAAAAAACTTGAAAGTTCAAACTTCATTCTTTCAACCAAACTATTGGATGTTTATTTAGAAAATTTACATTGCCATTGTTAGTCCACAAAGTACAACGGATACAGTCCAAACTAGACAACAAACAACCATTAATATTATCATGCGTCCTAAGATTTATCCTGAAAAAATTACATATAATACTCCGACTAATTGTGTCTTACCCAAGATCTTACAATTCAAACGACACCCTATTAGTAGACCGACTATCATTCACACTTAACATCAAATTGGTATACATTGTTACTATACTAATCACATCTACAAAATGATACACAAACTATCTTAGGAATACCAAGACATACAACAAAAGAACAAGAGCAGGTATGTCTTTGATAGCAATGTCTACATATCAAATGACCTGAAATAATGTCTCCAAACTTGAAAAAACCAAAATAAATCAAACCACGAGGAAGCTAGATGTCATGGCCTTAACATACATGTTTTCGTGGAAAATTATTTTAAACCGATGATCTGCCATGTCCAAATGTGTATGTATATCACCGACAAAGAAATTATAAAAACCATGCACATTTTCCTCCTTCAATAACATCTCAAACTTCCAAATTAGAGCACTCTTGATCGTGGCAGAGACATGGTTTCCCTAAAATTATCATACAAACAAACCAAGTATAAAAAACCATACCAATACAAACAAAATGAGAAAACCCAACTATGATATGTTGACATCTTGTCGTCTATTAAAACCATATCAATGCCTGCTTAGCTTAGTCGACTTCAAGTAAACATGTTTCTATAGGTGAACACCCGTCCTTGAACTTCCATCCGTTAACATCAATATTGATCCCATTAATAAAATAATATCGTGAACCCATCTGAGACACTATCAGAGTTCCAACAGTTATATATACAATAACAATTATATCTACAAGTGATACAAGATATGCTTCATTTATAAAGACAAAAAAAAAAAAAAAACTAACATACCTAAATTAACAAGGAAACACATGAAGTGTCCAACTGGTTAATTATCAAATGATCATTTAAAAAAAAAGAGTTTTTCAATTGTTTTTTTTTTAAGAGAAGATCTATAGAGATACGGTGTTCTAAAAGAATTTGTTAGCGATTTCAATTTTTATTAAATGAAATTTCATTTTATCTTCACTCCGTTTGCCCTTAACCCCATTCCTATATATCCCCCGCATTCGTGTCTATCTCGCTTACACCTTCCTTTACGCAGTCAAAAAACCCTTCTTCTCTTTGGCGTCTCCGAGCTCTCAATCTCTCTCAGATCATCAATGGCCGGCAAGACCGACTTCGATTCTTCTCTCCCTAACTCTCAGATCTCCAGAGGTGAATCAATTAACCACACACTTCTACTTCTTCCGCTAATTTAACTTTATCACTTTATAATTTCCTCGACTTTCTTAAAACCCTATTTTTCTTGTAGAGATTTGTCGGTTTTCTTTCTTGGGTGAATGTATTAATCATGAAGGCACTGGTTTTTCTTTTCTACGACTACTTCCTTTACCGCTGAATCTTTCAGATATGCGTCATAACAAATGTGGCCGAAATATATTCGCCTTCGCGTCTTCTTCTTTCGTTTCTTAGGTTATGTATTTAGTCGAGAACGAAGCGTCTACGGAGTTTGTTCTATTTGCGATTTGCGCCTACTGTGACAGTTTTAGGGTTTTGAAACACAAAATGAATTAATTTGCGCTGAAGTTAATTCATTTGTTACGAGTCCATTCCGAGACTGACAGAAGAAAGTGCTTTATTTATCATATAATATCGTCCTTTTGATTCCAGGAGTGAGGTTTTGATTTCGTATGCCATCATTTTTACATTTTTCCTTCAGTTTCGGCGCTTAATTTACGAGTGTTGCCCTACTCGTTGTTTAGGAAAAAGGGCCTATATGGCATCATCCGGCATTATATGCACTTGTGATTCTTTATGCTCGAGTGTTATTGATGAGCTTTATTTGTTGGCCCATATTCGCGTTGAGATCTTGATTTCGTTAGTGGGGTTGATAAAATTGACGTGTTTTAAAAAGAATAAACATTTAAAAACGTGCTTCTGCTGTTGCTTGTTCATTTCGTGTCTTCTTGGATTGTCCATATTCAGAGTCTCTTTAGTGCATGCATGTACTCTGGTTAATTGAAGATTGCAAACAATGTTCTACATGGTCAAGCAGTTTAAACAAAGTTTTTTGAAGCTCACATGGCATGTGTGTTTCAATGCTGGTCATCTTTGTTTTTTAGCGACACAGCTGCTCAAATTATCCTTCTTTTGAAGAATAGAAATCCTTTTCTCATTTCACTTAGACTTCTATTATGACTATGTCTGACCTAACCCAAGAAATTTGCTACATTAGAGCTAATCATTCATTGGCTATTGATTCTGCAGATGTCCAAGGGTCTGACAGTTCTATTCCACTTTCACCACAGTGGCTCCTGTCCAAACCTGGGGAGAACAAGATGGGAACTCCAACCTCGGTGTGTGACATTCCACTTTCTTTTAAAAAAAGCTTCTTTCTTTCTTTCTTTTTTCCCTTCTGATTCTTCCCTATAGAGAATAGTCTATAAACTCATCTGTTATGTTTTTAACACAGGAGGTCCCCACCAGTCCTTTTCCTCCATTTGCCAACCGTTTGGATTTCATGAAATCACCTGGAACCGATGATTCCCAGAAGAAAAAAGATGTGTTTAGGCCTTCTGTTCTTGAAAGCCGTGAACGCTGGCGTGATGAGGAAAGAGACACAAATTCTTTTGTCCGCAAGGATAACAGGTGGCGGGAGGGGGAAAAAGAGCTTGGGGACACCCGCAAGGTGGCAGACAGGTGGACATCAGATAACAACATAACACCAGGAAAACAACACTATGGAGAATCCAGACGTGCACCTTCTGAGAAATGGGGTGATACTGGGAACAAAGATGCACGTGAGAGCAAATGGAACACCCGTTGGGGCCCTGATGACAAGGATGCTGATGTCACACGTGACAAGTGGACAGAATCTGGAAAAGATCATGATGTCCAGGTGTCCCATGAAGGTGACCACCCTCGACCATGGAGGCCTAGAGGAAGAGCAGAGCCGCCACATCAGCAAACCCCAGGGGTAAACAAGCAGACTCCTATGTTTGTTCATGGTCGGGGTCGTGGGGAGAATCCTAATTCCACATTTTCTATTGGCCGAGGAAGGGGTGGGACCCACCCTATGAATAATAGTTCCTCCGCTCATTTGCAGCCTTTAGGATCTTTTCCTGATATGTGTGATAATACATCTCCTATGAGGTATACCAGGTCAAAGCTGCTTGATGTGTACAAGATAACTAATATGAAAGGTGGTGAAAGAATGTTGGATGTGCCTTCACTTACACAGGAGGAACCTTTGGAGCCTCTTGCACTTGTTTCACCTACCCCTGAAGAATTGGTAACTTTTTAAGTTTTAACATTTATTATTTATCACTCTCTGTTATGGTAAAACTTGAAACTAATATGTTTTTTTTTTATGGCAGTTTATAATGAAGGGGATTGACAAAGGGGACATTTTAAGTAGTGGTGCTCCTCAAATTACTAAAGATGGATCATCTGGGGTTAACATGGCTGATACACAGTCAAGAAGAACCAAACTTGGTACTTTGAACATTTCTTTATCAAAAAATTTGAATTTAATAGTCAAGAAAATTGCTATTAGTGAGTTTGTTGAATGTGTTTTTTTTTTTGAGCAGGGAGTAGAGAAGATCTACCACTTGCTTCTGACAATTATTCGGATTATGTGGAGGGCTTATCTCATGAGAAGCAAGGACACTCATATGAGACCAATTTTAAACCTAATGTCATGGAAGATCGTCAGTCTTTTATAGATTACAAATCCAAAAATGAAGGTATATATACATTATCTACAGTTTCTTTAAAAAATTCAATTGTGGGTGTTTAAGTTTTTATATCAAGAATCATTTTGTTATCTGCAGCAATAGGAACCTCAGCTAACTCTGGGGCAAATTGGAGATCTTTATCCATGGGGCAACGTGCACAACCGAATACTTCCAATGAATGGAGTAGCAGTTTAACAAATGTAACAAATGTTTCAAATGTTTCAAATCCAGCTATCAAAAGGCAACAATCTGGAAACACTATGGATAGGGAGCATGAAGCAAGGATACTTTCACAATCACAGCCATCACCTGAAGATTTGGTTCTTTTTTATAAAGATCCACAAGGTTCAATTCAAGGTCCTTTTACTGGAATTGATATTATTGGATGGTTTGAGGCTGGATATTTTGGGATTGATTTGCAAGTACGTCTTGCAAATGCACCAAATGACTCACCTTTTGCTTTACTTGGTGATGTCATGCCTCACCTTCGTGCAAAAGCCAGACCTCCACCTGGATTTACTGCTGCTAAAAGTGAAATCAATGATGAATCCAGTATTCCTAATCCCAATGCTATGATGAAAAATGATCCAAGGTTTCAACATGGGTCAACCACAGAAGCTGAGAATAGGTTCATTGAGTCTCTCATGTCTGGTAGTGGTGGCTCATTGGAGAAGTTTGGGCTTTCTGAAGGTATGCAGGGGTATTTTGGGAACCCTGGTTCGATTCCAGCTATGGAAATTGCTAAATTGATGCAGCTTGAAAGGCAGAAGTCAATGTCAAGTCCTTATTCTCTTTGGTCTGGGCCTCCTAAATCTGACATTCTTCAAGATCCTTCAGTTTTACCTCAAAATCCTCCAAATCCAGAGTTCATGTCTATTCTTCAAGGCTTATCTGAAAGGTCAAACTCTGCTGCAAACAGTGGGGTGAGTAACTGGTCAAACTTTCCTGTTCAAACCGGGTTGGACCCACTTCAGGGTAAACATTTCCCTCTTCAGACACCATTCGGGGCCCACCAGAGGCTGCAAGGACAGAATCTACCCTCACTAGGTCCACTAACACCTGAAAAGCTTCTAGCTTCTGGCCTTCCTCATGATCAAATCTTAAGCTTATTACAACAACAACACATGTCACAGATAAAACCTCAAATCCCTACACCACAGTTGTCTGTGTTGGATGAGTACTTGTTACTTAAACAACAACAACAGAAACAGGAACAGCTTCAGCAACAACAACAGCAGATTATGAGACAACAACTGCTGTCCCAAGTCCTCATAGAGCAACAATCTCTGCAACGTTTTGGTGAGCAACAACAGCAGTCTGTTGGATTTGCTCCTCCACATGAGGTGTTGCAGATGGGATCACAGAATCAAGGGCTTAATACTAACACTCCTCATATGGCTCAATTTGTTCCCACACCAGGTCTTGAAGATTCTATTCATTTGCCACATCAGTTTATTGACAACAGAGTGGAACAAAAAGGTGGTGGAGATGAGATTGTTCACCAGAAGGAACCTGATGTACAGGAACATGAGCAGCAGCCATTGATGATCGACTCAAGAACAGATGAAAATGTTGCTTTGATTTCTGACCCTCTGGTTGCTGTGAAAAATGAAGTTTTAGAGACTGAATTTGTTGATAATGTGGATGTGATGCCAGCTGTCACGGAGGCACCAAAGGTTCAGAAGCCATCTGCTAATGAGTCCAGTGTTGTGAAAGAAGTAAAGCCTGTTGAAACTGTGAAAAAAGCTACTGAAAAGAAGTCAAAGAAACAGAAGTCTTCAAAGTCACAATCATCTGACATGGCTAAAACTGTATCTAAACCCCAACAGCAGCAGCCAAAGGAACCTGAAACTGATTTGACCAAAGTCAACGAGGTCGAAATGGAAACATCTCAAGTAGAAGAGACCAAATCTAGAGTAGTCATGGAAGAGCCTGTAACTATGTCTAGTAATGTTAACCAAATCCCACAAGATAACAACACACAACAAGTTCATATTCAACGTGCATGGAAGCCTGCTCCTGGTTTTAAACCAAAGTCACTGTTAGAAATTCAACAAGAAGAGCAACGCCGGGCCCAGGCCCAGGCCCAAGCTCAGGCCCAAGCCCAAGCCCAAGCAGAGATGGCTGTTTCTGATATGTCAACATCTTTAGGGTCAATGAACATATCCAGCCCTTGGTCTGGTTTTGTTGCCAATTCAGACCACAAACTTACAGAAAACAAGAAAGAATGGGCCACCTCTGAGGCTTCCCAAAATCAAAACAACAAGAGCCAGTTGCATGAACTTTTAACTGAAGTAAAAACTAGTGAAAAGAACTCTGCATCAGTTACAACTACTGTACAATCTGATTCAGTTGAAGAAGGTAGTTTCATTGAGGCTAAAGAATCCAAAAAGAGTCGCAAAAAGTCTGCAAAAGCCAAAGCAGCTGCAGTATCCAAAGTGTCTGTGTCTCCTGTTGCTGACATCAGCACCATTTCAAGCCCAAATGAGAAAGTGAAAAGTTCACGTCAAGAGAAGGAGGTGCTGCCAGCTGTCCCTTCTGGTCCTTCATTTGGAGATTTTGTTGTCTGGAAAGGGGAGACTGCAACTCCTACACCTGCTCCAGCTTGGTCTACTGATTCAGGAAAGATTGCAAGGCATACTTCATTAAGAGACATTCTTAAAGAGCAAGAGAAAAAAGGTGGTGGTGGTTCTTCTGTTCAACAACAACAACATCAAGTACATGTGGCAACACAAAAACCTGTGTCATCATCTGCTCAAACTAAAAATGGTCCTTCATGGTCATCATCTGCTTCATCTCCTGTCCAGATTATGTCTTCACATGGTCAATCAAAGAACAAAGTTGATGATGATCTGTTTTGGGGTCCTTTGGATCACCCGAAACAAGAAGCAAAAAAGTATGTTTGTTTTAGTGTATATGTTGTGATTTATGGAAGCGTGTTTGATGGTTTGTGTTTGTTTGTGATACAGGGCTGATTTTCCTCAACTTGCAAATCAAGGGAGTTGGGCTAAGAACACTCCTGGAAAAGGAACTTCTGGTGGGGCTATGAGTCGACAGAAGTCTGGGAGTGGAAGACCTGTTGAAGCTTCTCTTTCTTCATCTCCTTCATTGAAGGGGAAAAGAGATGTGATGGCTAAACATTCAGGTAAACTGAATTCACTTGAAGCTTCTTTTACTTTGAAAAATCTATCTGATTGTAGCAATGTCATGTAAATGCATAGCCATTTCAAGAGCTATATTTCGGTAGATTTCTCACAAGAAAAAAGTTTTTAAAGTCTTTTTTTCAAAGTATATATCATGCTACTTTCAGTTCTCCTAATTAATCCAGCTATAGCAATGCCATCCAAATACAAAGCAATTTTCAAAGCTATAATTGTGTATTTTTCAAGTTTAATTGAGAGTGGTATGCTTTAAATGGCTTATATTTTCAAAAAAATAGGCTTTATTATGATAAAAATGTAATTAGAATTTAAAATGAATGGAAATAAGATACTATAATACACAAGTAAGTGAAAGTACCTTGCGTTTTTGCAGAGGCAATGGACTTCAGAGATTGGTGCAAAAATGAATGTGTCAGGCTTCTTGGATCCAAAGGTATTGCAAAATCTGAATATGAATCTTTATTTTTTTTTTTTATTGCTATACCCATTGCTTAATGATTAAAGAAAATTAGATTTTTTAGTGTTTAAAAGTAAAAATCCGAGACGAGGTTTCTGTGAAATAAAATTCAAATTATATGCTCATTTGACATGTAATTTTTTTTTTTTTTTTTTTTTTTTTAATTCTGCTATTTGTCAGATACAAGTTTTCTGGAGTTTTGTCTGAAGCAATCGAGATCAGAAGCAGAGATACTTCTGAAAGAGAATCTCGGGTCATATGATCCAGACCATGCATTCATCGAAAAGTTCCTCAACTACAAAGACCTCCTCCCTTCAGACGTTCTCGAGATCGCCTTCCAAAAAACCACCGGAGATGTCAATTCCGGGAACGATGGATTCTGGGATTCCGAGGTCGGTGGTGGTAAGGCGGCGGCAGATGGCGGCAGCAAGGCGGGAGGAGGAGGAGGAGGAGGGGGGAAGAAGAAGGGGAAGAAAGGGAAGAAGGTTAGCCCAGCAGTTTTAGGTTTTAACGTGGTGAGTAACAGGATTATGATGGGGGAGATTGAGACAGTTGAAGACTAGATGAGATGGAGAGTGAAACAGCAGTTTAAGGTTTGTTTACTTTTATTATGGTAATGTAGTTTGTAAATACTTTTGTCTGTGTCTGGAAGGAAAAACAGTGGCTGTGTACATGATAATTTTGAAGATTAGGGTTTTTTTTTTTTTTTTTTTTTTTTTTTAAATTTCTTTAAATGTTGTTGGGTTATTATAGAGCTGAGCTGACAGCAGCTTCTATATAATTGAAGAACTGCTCCACCAATTTTGTGATATGTGACTTACTTGTTTTGACTTTAGAAGAAATGTTATCCGTTGCATTTTGCTTATATATTATCGTATTTGTGTTCTGAAATTGTGAAAAAGTTAAGCATTTGGTACATTGTATTGGACTTAGACAAATAACAAAAGAATATGTATTTAGTGATAGTTCTTTTGATATGTGGTGTGGGTGGGTGTGAAATTTGGGGTTGTATATGTTAAATTGATTTTTGTAAAGAGAGATCTAGTGTTTGTGGTTCTCATTCGTCAAAACTAATTAGATTTGTAAATAACGTTATTTGCTAAAATACACCAACAGTATTTTATTTCATATTTCAATAGTGTCAAGTTTAGGGCCAACTATTTATTTATTTTTTGAAAAAATACCTACTAACTTGACTCGTTTAACCTGAAATCTGTTCGGGTTGACCCTGATAGCATACCTAGGTAAAACCATTGATGACTATCAATCGCCTTGTAGAACCTTAAGAACCTGAGGTGACTACAAGCTCAATTTTATTTGCTGTCAAATAGCTTGACAAAAAAGTTTGGAGGATAATCTTGTCGTTGGAAAATATTTTCTACTCCTGATTTTCCAATTTTCTTTCCTATCAATGACGTGGATGTTGATGTTAATTTGAGGTGTTGGCATGATAAAAATGGTGGTGATAAGAGACGAGAGAGAAATAGACGGGTGTGATGGTCGCAACGAAGAGGCTTTATTTCAGTGAGCAGAGGGTGGGATGTTAACAAGGAAGTTGAGGATAGAGACGATGAGATAAGTGATGGCAGAGATGAACGAGTTTAACCTGCAATTTGTTACTACTGAGAAATGTCGAGGAAAAAAACACATAAAACATGAGGACGTAGATGTGCAATAGTTGATGTGGAAAATCACTTTATCTACAGTCCATTTTAATAGTTTTATTGAAAGATCTTGTTTTTGTGGATATTAATAAACTAACCATTATATAATGTCAACTTAGAGAAAATAGCCTCTTTTTATATATATATATATATATATATATATATATATATATATATATATATATATATATATATATATATATATATATATATATATATATATATATATATATATATATATATATTGGTATTTTAGACATTTCAGACTCTTGATTTTTTTTGAAGAATATGCAGGGCCGGTCCAAAGGTTTTAGTTGCCTTGGACGAAAAAAATTAACAATGCCTCGATACTTGTATTAAATCTATATCATAGTTAACTTTAGAAATTTCAAAAAGTTCAATAAGTTTTCCTGTAACGTAATTGATTCTAAAAAAAAACGAATCAAACAAAACTAGTAATTGTGAAGCAGGAAAACGAAATCCAGATACATTAAACTATAAATTGTGAACAACACCCTAAATGTCATTATCTTAAAAGTCAATATAATAATAAAAATAGAAAACAAAAATGCCAATGTGTTCATCAAGTTGTATTATAATCTTTCAAAAAAAAATGTAATATAATCTCAAAACTGGAAAAAAGGAATTTTATCAGCAACAAAACATTGCTAGAATTGTAGCAACACCCAATTAAGGCAATCAACTTCAATGGCATAATCAACTTCAAGGGCATAATAGTCCAACTAATCCCTTTAATATGCTTTGAAACTAAACTCAACGTGACTTTAAATTGACAATATTAACTAAATACACTTCTGTGATGTAGAGGATATAACATCATGAGCTGAATCGTCCAAGAAAATTTCAATGACGTACAGGGTAGACACCTTTAAAATCCAAGCCAAACCAATCCAAACTTGGCAAACATTACACCGCAACCGAGTAAAATTCCAAAAGCAAAAAAACATAACACCAGATAAGAAGAATTGACATCTAGAAAAGCTAATCAACAAATTAAGAATCGGGGAATTACGTAGCAATAGGGGCACGATCATCCATAATAAGATCCATACAGGAGAATACTTCCATTCCAAATACTTCCATTCCAAATATGATGAGTTCCAGATCGCAGAGAAGAGAGTCACATAAATCAGAACTGGAAAGGGTATCCAGAAAATGAATATAAAAAAGAGGAGAATTTAGAGAAATCGAGAGACGAGATAGGAAAGTTTATAGAAATTATGGTTCTTGTTTTCTTGACAGAAATCGGTTGCTTATTTGAATAAGAGCCAATTGATTCCTCGTCTTTTGCATCTGGCATTTCGATTTTCTAGGTGACGATTGGGAAGACGGAAACCTAAACCAGACTCCATGAATTAAAGCGAGTAAGCGTCTAAGCGACACAAATCAGAGATGTTGAACTCATTTGGGCCGAAAACTTATAATATTAACACGATGGACTAAACTTATGCCCTCACCTTTCTGCTACCCTAGGCCACTGCCCAACTCGCCCGGGTATTGGGCCGGCCCTGAGAATATGACTATGATGATGAAAATATGTAGTATTGTGGGTAAATTTTCTTTACAATAATTTTTTATGAGCATATTAGAGATTTAACTTGTCCAAAATACGAAGAATATGTAGAACAAGTCCAGAATCTAGTATAATTTTTATGGCAATATTTCATAGAAGTAGTTGTAATTGATATTTAGGTCTTTTTGGCAGTTAAATTCATATTTAAGAACAATTAGAACTAGTCTATAACAAGTAGCCCGTGCCTAAATTTTGAAAATCTAGTTCGGAATACGAAGATCTTATAGGGAGCATGAAAATCATGTCTGGAACAAGATCCTAAATTTTAGTTTTCTTAGCATCATCATGTATATGATGCTCTGATTACAACATGTGAAACAGACCTGGGTTAGGACATTACGGCTAGGCTACAACCTATCCCATCATGAGCGATACTTTTCAAGGTGTCTTATTTGGGTAGGTGGGCTTATGTATAGGTGTGGAAGGCTACCAATTCTTGGACCATTACTAGTTTTGCAAGGAGGTAGTGACCAATCCAAAATTCGATATGGATGAGTTATTATATTTGGTGTGTGAATACCGACTCTGTTTTGAAAAGTGAGCATTGTGCCAAGTGTTAAATGTGACTTGAGCATTTGGAGCATTCTCATTGAGCATCTAAATTCAATGGAGCATTAGGAATTTAGTGGAGCACTTGAATAAACGTCTGAGCATCAGGAAGGGAATATAGCACCTATGAATGAGTGGAGCACATGAGAAGGAAATAGAGCATTTGAGAAGGGAATAGAGCATCATATAATGCCCCATGATAAGGATGTTGATGGATTAGGTGTCTAATCTCATAACCATATTTGGTATGTACTTGATTTGATTTGTAGCATGGTCTTTTTGGGTTGCCTTCACTCATGCAACTTGATAGGATGACTAGTGGAGAGAGAGAGAGAGAGAGAGAGAGAAGGCTTTATTATATGAATAAGAAATTGGTACTCAGAATGATTTTATTAATATATTATAATATGAACATATTATTTGGAAATCATATTATTAATTAGTAATTAATCAGAAATTAATTTGATATTAATTTTGGGATTAAAGGAACTGATTAATAATGGAGGGACTGGTTTTGCAAATCATTAATAGTTGCAAAGTTGGGCTGATGGACCTGTGGGAGGACTGGACGATATCTATAGGAGGCCCTATTGTTATGAGTTCTGAAAGGGTTTAGACATACACATAAGCTATCTAACGAATGGTGTACGAGCTTGAGAAGTCTAGATGAAGACTTATCGAAGCACCACATATCAGAAATCTAAACTTTTGTAAGAAAGTCAATAGGTATTGATTTCTAGAAGTCCACTTGATTTCTGGGTACATGTCAAAGCTAGTGGGAGCATAATTGTTATGCTGGTAAGGACATAATTGTTATGCTAGTGGGAGCATGATTATTATGAAAGGTGTTGCAAGTTAGCAATGCTATTTATAGGAAACAAAGTTCTAAATTTGCAAAGTCGCATAATTTGGAAATTGTTTTGCTATAGTAAGGCTTAAGGTAGAGGGCATCAATATATCATTTTGAATTTAAATGTTTTAGATTGAAATTTTAACAGACTGAGTCATGAACGTATATGAATGTCATGTTGAAATATTTTAACATAGGAAATTCTATATATGGAAATATTATAGCAAGAGACTGGTCTAATATCATGTCTTTATGAATCGTACCCCATATGCTTCGGGTATAGGATCGCTTGCATATGCTATAATATTCGATGATCTGATTTTCCAAGTGCCTAGTGCATTAAGAGGGAAAAAGGAGCAGAACTGAATATGACTAAAATTATTAAACAAATATCAAGGAAAATCTTAGATTTACCAAAGATTGGTTGCTTGGGACAGTTGGAAATATAGTATTGGATGGACCGTTTTGATATAATTCTGAATAGACAAGATTCTATTAAGAATGAATTGTCATATGACAATTGTGGAAATGTTTCCATAATGAGAGTTGGACAGTAAGAATCTATGTGTAAGTTAGAAACTTTTATGCAAGAAGGATGTTAAATGAATGTACCTTGAATGTGATACTTCATTTATGGGGAATTGTCTTGTGACAATTTCAAAGGAATGCTTTGTAATATCATTGGCAAAGTCTCTGTGAATTTTGTGCCTTGACATTACAAAAGGAACATTGCATGCAAGTTTAGATCTTACAAGATTCTATTAATGGTAAGAATTTTGTATTCTTACACTTGTGACAAGGTTATGAAATTATGAATTGAGCATCATTGGAAATATATTCAGTTGATCTATTTCACAAAGTAAGGACCGTAGATAAACATAGTGTGCATGCTTGGAGCATGGGATGACTATTGTTTTAATTTAAGTATTGGGTTGATTGATCGAAACAATAAACAATGAGTAAGGTCTAATTAATTTTGTAATTAAATAATAAGTGTTTTATTTATATTTAAAACTTCAAGACCATATTGGATTAGGTTATTCTTGTGTTTCACTTCACATGTTTTACTTCCCGAATAATAAGATTATTCAAACATCCATAGTCGATCATACTTTGGAAGTATGTAATGAGGTAAGACTGTTGTGAATCGGACTATAGATTGTTTAAGTGTTTAGACATGGGAAATGTTTGCTGCAGTGTTCATAAGTACTTCTGAAATAGGAATTTGAGTATTGGATAATACCCACACTCATTTGAATCACTTCATGGATTTTATCACGAGTGATTGTGAGACGATAACATCTTATATTCTTGAAACAGAGACATATAGTTTTTGTTTAGAAATTAGTTGTGCATTGATAATATGTTAACACATCAGTAACTTGATGTTATAAAACGTATTGTTGTGTGTGATTTGATGAGTAAATAGTACAAGCATATGAGTCGAAGTTTATCTGTTACTTTTTATCCGAGATGGTATAAAGCGATATATGTGGGCCACTCGATTATTTAGTGATGACACCCTAAGCGATTGGCTAATCCTGGACTAAGTTGATGTGTTCAACTGTATTATGTTGTCAGTCATCATAAATTGGAAGTCGGGAATAAACTTTGGATAGAGAGAATGATTAAAATCCATGTATCATGTCCATATGATATCTTGTAGAATGGAGGAATATTTGATCCCTTATCTAAAGGATGCGTTGCTGATAAGATCAGAGTTCGACAACAACTTTTGAAAGCTACGATTGCTTGTGAAATTTTGAAGTCATACTTGCAATAATAGTTATTAGACTTATCTAAGTGGAAGACTGTTGGATTAGGTGTCTAGGCTTATAACCATATTTTGTATGTACTTGATTTGATTTGTAGCATGGTCTTTTTGGGTTACCTTCACTCATGTAACTTGATAGGATGGCTAGTGGAGAGAGAGAGAGAGAGAAAGAGAGAGAGAGAGAGTAGGATTTATTATATGAATAAGAAATTGGCAACCACAACTATTTAAAGACCCTCATGCATGTATTTTCGGCCACTCTTGTCTTTGGAAGAACCCTGGCCAATTTCTAGCATCTTTCCAAGCCATCCTTTGCATTGAGTGTTTGTGACTCCATTAGAGGTGCAACACTTAGGGCACTAAGCTTTCAATAGTCAAGGACTTCAAGGATTGTCTTGTTATTACAATATAACAAGTGAGGTAATCATCAAACTCTAATATATATGTGAATTTCAAAATTGTATATACTAGATCTAGGGTTCATTGCTTTGGTATTTTATTTGCGTGTTCAATATAGAAAAACATAGATCCAAAGCAATTAGGGTTGCATGATCACATAGGATTGTAGATATGCTCATAGCCCATCAGTAGTATCAGAAACTAGGATGTTTTTCAATTGAATTGATGCAAGAGTGAACTGCCAAAAGAACAAGAAATCGAAATTTTTTGCTGTCCCGAGCTGGAACTCGACGAGTTGACTCGTCAGTTTCCTGGTTTTTTGATTTTTAGATCAGATTTTGATTTGGATGATTACCATAATTCATTTTTATTGCCTAAAATCAATTTTTCTGATTGGTATCATCGTATCCTAATCAAAATTAATAATTTGGTTAAATTTGGATAATATAAGATTATTTTGATTCATAGATTTAACCTAGTAATTTTAAATAGTTTCAAATTGCACCCTTTTGGTTTTATAATTTAAATTTGAAATTAAAAGTTTTGATTTTAGAAATTTAAATAGTTAAACCCTCTCATTTTGAATAGTTTAAAATACACCCTCATGGATTTTATTAATAAGATTAATTAAGTGTTTAATTAAAAGCGAATTAATATATCAGTAATATGGTTTAAATTTAATTGAATTAAAAGTTTAATTTATTAAAGGATTAAACCACTTAGTATTTTAAAAGCTTAAAATACACCCTTATACTATATAAGGTTAAAAGTTTAATTATATATATATATATATATATATATATATATAGAGAGAGAGAGAGAGAGAGAGAGGAGAGAGAGAGAGAGAGTTAGGTTCAAGTATTCTAACTAGTTATTGTGCGAATGTGTGGACAATGTTATTCTATGAGAATTACTAAGAGAATAAGTTGTTTAGTAATGCGAATACGTTCAACCTTACACAAATATCATTATTTTCATGCATCCTCGCAAATTATTATTTATTTTTGTTCTCACACATTGTTTTTCACTCATTTTCATTCTGACAGAATACGAATCAATAAACATTCTGACAGAACTGGGAATAATAATAATAAGTGTATAATAACCTTATAGACGATTTAATTAGTGAGAATGCATGTTAATGACAATAGTTATGTAAGATTGAACATATTTATATTATCAAATAACATATTTTCTTTATCATTTTAAAAGAATAACATTGTCCATACGTCCGCACAATAATTAGTTAGAATAGAATAACCTAAGCCTATATATATATATATATATATATATATATATATATATATATATATATATATATAAAAGTCAGTCTTACCGTTGGTAGGCCTCATTCACGAAGCTGGTCTATAATGAGTATTTAAGGAAGCAGCTTGTAAAATGACCGCCATTGGGTATCCACTCTTACCCACCACACTGTTGACTAGTGGAGGGCCGTTAGCCGAATGGGTAGGATAGGATACTAAATCCTTATTACAAGTATAACGAATATACAAAGTAACTAAACTTTTTATAAATTCCCAATCTTAGTTACTTTAGGAAAAATGTGTGTTTGATGCTAGCCCATGAAATTGCACATTGCACCTTATTGGTTGTTAGTGGAGTGTGTGTGGTTAACCAACACACTAATTTGGGACTAATGAAGGATGTCAATGGGTAGCTCGTAAATTATCGTTGGTCAATGGAGCATGTGTGGTTAACCGACACATTGATTAGATGATAAATGACATTGAGAGTACCAAGCTAATTTGCATGGTTATTCACACCTTGTTTGTGATCCTCAGTATCCCAGTCACAAACTTGAAGGGCATAATCGAGATTAAACATGCCATTGAAAAGTTCAATGAATCTCAAAAGATTTAGAAATTTCATTTAAAACTTAAATTTGTTTAAAATTTCGTTTTCGTGGTTGAATTGGTAAACCGTCACTTACTTACCTTGAAATAATTTACAATTGGATTACGGAATTGTTCTTCCGAATTGTGAATTATTGTGTTGGGTCCTAGCCTTAATATTTCATTTGGGGTGTTATATTAAGGATTGTATCAACTAACTTGAATTTCTCCTTTTTATAGATGTCTAGTTCAGACAACTATGATTTTCCTCAATTATGATTTCATTTGGGTGTTATATTAAGGATTGTATCAAATATGATCACATAGGATTGTAGATATGCTCATATCCCATTAGATGCGCCACTTAGAAACATGGATACACCATTTTGGAAAGGGTGCACCACCTATAGGCAATGTGCACCGCTTTGGAAGCTCGATGCGCTAGGAGGATGCACCATATTAAAAGAAGGATGCACCACTCTTGTACATGATGCGCTACCTACAATTAAGATGTTTCATCTTGGTGCAAGGGTGTGCCACTTATGACCTTGATGCTCCATGATGTCCCTTGATGCATCACTATGTTGTAAGGTACACTAGGGTGCTCAGAAGATTAAGAAGCTGAAGGTGGATGCCCCATATGGAATGAGGTGCCATAATGATGTCACTTATGTATCATAATGCTCCATCATGTGTGCTGCTGATGCTCATGAAATGTATCTCAAGGATGAATATCCAGCTGGAGCTCCATGATAAATTATGATTGGTTGACGCCTTTCATGGGCCTATGGATTAATGGGCTTGGCCAATTAGGGTTTTAGGTATGATCTAGGGTCTATAAATAGGGGCATATGCTAGTCATTTGTCTGTATCTTAAATTTTAGTGAGTAGGCGAATCTCTGTTAATTTGTAGATGTAACCTCTATTTTAGAACTCATGAATAACTAATATTTCCCTCCCGCCCATGGACGTAGGTCACCTTGACCGAACAACGTAAATATTATGTATTTGTGTGCTTGTGAGGCTTGGTGAGTTATTTTTGATGCTTTTTCAACTATACACTTTCAAAGGGTCTCGGTGTTAAATACAATGTGACATCTCCAATTTTACAGCCAATTAAAACTTTTTCTTTAAGCTTATTTAGTTCAAATTGTTTATTTTATTGCGGAATTTGTTCCCAAAACATTATTTTAAATGTGAGATAATATCAATGTCAAAGCATTTCCAAAGAAATGGTTTTCATTATATATAAAAACTTGTGTAAGTCCCAATACTATGGATCTTATATGATATCAATCTAAATTGCTTAATGAATGCTGAATGTTAAGTAAGCAATGATTCAAGAACACGAAATAACTTCTAATGCACACGATTCTATTGATAATAAATCGTCTGGTACACACTAAACTCTAATGGCAGCCGCGAACAAAACAAATGGAACTACTAAACTCTAAACGGATGAATACATATCTATATATACCGAGTACAATACCACAAAGCCCAAACCACTATGACTGTAATCACTAGGTGATTACGGTTCATCTAACCGTGAACACATACAAGCTCATCAAAAACAATACTTTAAGCCCAAGAATAAAAACACTATGAGCCCAACATAAACCACAAAAATATGACCCAACAATCTCCCCCTTGGTTTATTTCTGGCTACTTTTACAACTTATCTACAAGATGAACATCAGACTGATTGAACGCCCCACCCCACAACTTCCTTTAAATTATAGTGACAACCATTCCAGTGAAAGCTTTGCCAGCAGCTTTAAACAATTCATTTTCTACAATACGTTGCAAATGTGACAAAGTATGAATATCATGTTCTCCAAACTTCAACAAATCCTTGGGATCGACAATGTGATACTGGCCCTTTTTCAGCTTGATCACTGCCGACGCGGTAGCCTCATCATAAACCCAGAATTGCATTGAGTCCAAGGTGCCTTATGGTAATAATGTCTGGGAAGCAGAATCCTTTTATCTTTCTTTTCATGTGGCCACATAACATTCACCATGGTTTTATTAGCGTGAGGATCAATGACATCCTTATACTTTTTTGTGAATGATGAGGTAGTGTTCATGCCTTCAAATTTATTTTTAGCTTGATCCTCAAGAAACCTCTTAAAATCTTAGGCCATGGAGTCATTGGTTGGATTGTTGAAAGGAGCATGAATAACTTTAGCAAGATCAACTTTTTTCCAGGAAATAAATTTAGTTGGCCTCTCATAATACTCAATTCGATGGCTCTTTCGCTTCACTACCCACATTTTCTTGTCGGCATCGTATCCCCACATCAAAATGCCAGAGCGATCTCTATACTTGTCAGTAAATTTCTTCCCAGTTTCCCTTAGAAACATTTCAGGGTGATCACCTGGAACATTCTGATCCAAATGCTTCATCACCAACATCTTCCCTTTCAGCTGCTCGATTCGAGCTTGCTTCTCTCTTCTTTCTTGAGTAGAAGAAGGACCAGAAGATAAAAATGTGTCAAGATTTGCATCCGGAGCATGTCTTACAACTCTTTCACCTGAATGTTCAAAAGGTGGATTAACTGGATTAGAACTAGAAGCATAAATCTTTTCACCTTCAGCGCTTAAGGGTTGAAAATCATCACCAAACTTCTGATGTAAGTGTTGTTTCAGGTCAAAGAATAAAGCAGTTAGACCACCAAGATTTGCTTGAAGTTCTGAAATCTTCGCATCTTTAGCAAGGTTCTCCTGTTCAAGGTTAGAGACTCTCACATCCAGACTATCAATCAGTAAGTCCTTCTCAGTGGACTCCTGTTTCACAAACACAATCTCTTGTTTGAGCTTAGAGACGGTTTGATGAAAGTCTTCATCACCTCTTTGTCCGGAGCCAATAGAGATTCCGTTTCCTTTGGATTGAGAAATGGAGTCTTGATAAGCAAGTAACTTGGCTAGTTTGACAGATGCAACATCATACTCTGGATGTGGTGGGGCAGAAGAACTTCCCGAACCAAATGTTTCCTCATTAACCATCTGAATTTGAGCATCTTCTTGAACCGGGGCTAGTTTACTGTTTGGTCTTTGAACATCTTGAATAAATTGAACGGGATCAATAATCAGACTTTGAACATTATGAGTAACTTGAGTGGACTCAACCATCTAAAAAGGTTGTTGTACTGGTTCGGTAGAAAGCACTCACGGCCTTGGATCTCTACGTTTTCGCTTTCGTGGCAGCATAAAGGTTTTTGAATTGTCTTTATCACTGCCAGATGGAGTCTCAGAAGTAACAATAACTACTTGGGGAGGTTACCTTGCAGTTGACTGTAATTTGTCAATACGAATTTCCATATGTTTGGGCGTAGGATCGTTTTGTTGCTTAAAAATGTTGATTTCCTTTTATGTCCCAGTTGGAGAAATCACAACCTCATTGACTGGCTCCTTCGTCGACACAAACATACAAAAATCCATACCATTGTTATCACTATCACTCTCATCATCATCATCATCATCATCATCATCATCATCTTCATCGTCGTCGTCATCATCATCATCATCATCATCGTCATCATCAGAAACTTCAAATGAAGAACTGAGATTTGGTCTTGATGGCACCACATGCTCTTCGGCCACCACAGTAATTTGAGCACTTGAAGTTCGAACACCTTCTGCCTCTACAAACTTTCCAAATTTGAACAACTCTTTTAATCCTTGAATAACGACTTTGGTATCTTGTCTTAATTGCTTCTTTATCCCAAAAGTGTTAGGACTCAAAGCTTTCATATCCAAGGTATCAGAAGATCTCTCGATCTGGGGATATCTTTCATTCAGAATCATCTGAAGAAACCTAGGATACATTAAAAACAAATCCATATGAAGCAGTTGGAGAGTTTTGTTGATTGTATTAACCAGTTTGGGTTTGTGTGGCTTGCGATGATGTTTTCCTTGAGCACAGTAATGAAATCCTTTATCTGAAGATCTCAGACAATATTATTCTTAGCAAGACGATTGAGATTCTTAGCATTTTCATGACCGAGACATTGATGCCGGAGCATAGCATTATGTTCAGAGACTTTTGAGAATAGACACGTTACTTGCTCGAGAATATTGTGGTTCATGTCGATGATGTATGCATTTCCTTCTCGCTTAGATCTCACCAAAATCCAATCCTCTGGTATGATCAGTGCTCTAAAAGGCGCGCCATGGCGCGAGGCGTGGCTTCGCCGTTACGAAAAGCCTCATAACGTTGCTGTTAGGTGTGGCGTGTGACAAGGCGTAATATGGCATGCCATGGCACGTTATTGCGTGTTATGGCGCATGTTTTTTCGTTTGAGACATTTTTGTTATGTTTTTTCAAATCGGAGATACAAGTGTTGTGGTTTTTGTTAACTTTTTGTTATTAGTTATTGATCTAACACTTTAAAAAAGTAGTTATATTTAATATAAATTTATATTTATGTGGTAATATAACTTTAAATTAATACAAAATCGGCACCTTACATCATGCCATGAAAAATGCCGTGGCTCGCCATGGCTCGTTAAGCTTGAGGCTTGGAATTGCCGCCACGCCACGCCTCACGCTATTTAGAACCTTGGGTATGATGATACCAGGCTTCAAAATTAAGCATTCCTTGTTTGTTAAATGAGTTGAAAAACCTTTGTCACAGATCTGGGACACACTCAACAAAATGTGTTTCAACTCTGGAGCATAATTAACATTTTCAAAGCTCAAAACTCTATTAGTAACCGTGCCCTTTGGAGTGATTTTTCCTCCTTGTCCTCCCATAAAGGAAACATACCCTCGATTAAATTTTTGAATGTAATGCAACTGAGAGATGTCTCCTGTCATGTGCCTGGAACATCCACTATCAACATACCAAGGTCTGATGATATTCCTTCATAGTTATTCCTGCACAATGTGCGAGATTAGTTAGATTTGGGAACCCAATCCATAGAGACACTGGGTTGACCATGTTTATTTACACATTTAACTTCTTTCCATACCATATCTTTTGAATCAAATATTGTTCTTGATGAATTTAAAGGACGGTGAGGTGATTGGTCCGCAGGACCTTTGGGCACCCATCTATAATTAGGTTTAAGAATCTTATTGCTAACACAGATGGGAGTTTTGACATTTGATTTTGAAGCTTTTTGGTCCTTAATGTTTGACCTTTTGGATATCCATCTTTGGTTAGATGATGAACCATGAGATGACTTTGGGGAAACCGATATCAGTTTGACCAATTTTGGTTTTGCCAAAGTACCTTTTGAGCTTCGTTTCAAAATCTTTTTGTCTTTGTTTTCTTTGATAGTCTGCGTTTGGTCCTTATTTACATTCCAATCACCATCACTGGAACATGACGTCGAGAAATTTCTTTTAAGAGATCTTCCTCTTGATACGTTCTTCCTACCTTGTGCATCATATGGAACATATGCATGATTTGGGTAGTTTCTGGCAATATATCCTAGTGTTCCATAGTGGAAACAGGTATGCTTCTTCATGAAAAAGCTGTTACTGCTTGTTCCTGGTTTCATGTCCAGATTATGTCCACAAGTTCACTAGCAGTTTGCTGTCTATTTGACTTGTATCAGTGGGCTACATTTACTAATAGTAGGTCAATTAGTATTAGAATTCACAAACCACATCATTATAAATATTTGAAACAAAAGAAGTATCGGTTTTCAAAGAAACATTGTTTGAACAATCAACTGAATTAATAAAAATAGCAGTATTAACTTTCAAAGCATTATTTTTAAAAATAGTGTCATTTTTCAAAACTAAATCACTCTCGCCATCCTCTTTTCTGTCTTGCACTAGGGATTCATCTGCATATGAGTTAGAAACATTAGTATTGTTCACCCTATTATTATTCACTCGCTGAACTATAGTAGGTTTTCCATAATGCATATGAGCTTCTCTTGCAATTTCTTCCTCAGTCAGAGGAGAAAAGGTGTAATTATCATTGCATGGAGGGGGTACACTATCATAACCAAGACCTACATTCTTCTTACCTTGCCATTTAAGTTTTTTTTTTCAATCATGGTCTCAACTTTCTTACTTGACACATCTAATTTTTTGAAATTAAAATCTGCATTTTCAAACTTATTTTTCAATGTGTTAAGTTCGGCAGTTAGACTGGCAATCTTTTCTTGAGCATGATCGTAGCGTTCACATTTAGTGCTATATTCTTCTTAAAGTTTTCTAAAATCCTTGGTTTTGGCCTCTAATTTGTATTTTAAAGGTTTTTGGGCTGTTCTAAGAGCATAGCCTTCATATTTAAGGTCCTTAATTTCCCTAATTAATAGTTCATTTTGATTATGATAATGTTTAATTTATCACTACAGGCTTGAGAACATGAAGTGTCACTAACCTCTTTTGTGGCAGGTGTAGTAGAGACCATGAAGGCGAATTGTAGTACCATCATCTCTTCATCGACCTCTTCCTCCTTTGAATTTCACTGATTTGTGCCAAGGTTGCAGCTTCATGTCTTGTCAGATTCAGTGTCCGCATTTGATCCTCCCAGCTGAAGCTTTGTGCCACCATTACCAAGTTAGCTGTTTCATTGTTGGCTGCAACTCCTCTGTTGTTTCATGTATTCACCAACATCCTATCAGGATTGTTCCTCGTGTGTGGCTTGGTACATTCACGAGCAAAATGACCCGAATCGTGAGAACTGAAACACCGAAACTTGATCTTGTTGAACCCTACCTTCTTTTCCACGTTCATTCCCCAATTGTTCTTCCCTGTGTGTTGAGTAAGCTTGTTTGCCCTGAATATGACCATAGATATTTTCCATGTGATGTCCATCTCTTCCACGTCCTCAATATGAATTTGATCCAGTTCTCCAACCATGATTGGAGGGGCTAAATCTCCTGCCAATAGTGCATTATAGCATTTCATAAGCCCAACCATCAAAGCCATATATTCTTTAGCTTCTTTTGGAGTTGATGAAGGTTGGGCTAAAGATGTGGACTTAGAATTAGAGCCAGAAGAACTTGAGGCAGTCATATGTTGATGAGACACAACAAGATGTGCATAATATGTAGGTTGAGCAGAGAATGCATTGTTTGATGAGATTCCTAGATTGGCAGCAGAGTAAGAAGTTACATGGTTGATTTCACGTTGTTTATCATCCATGTCACATGCCTTGATTATGGCCATCACTTTAGCAAGACTAAATTTGCTTAGATCCCTAGTCTTCTTGAATACAGCCATATTCATGTCCCAACTCCGTGGAAGAGAATTCAACAACTTCTTATTGATATCAATTCATGGTAGACTTATCCTAGCCGTACTCATCTCAGTGGTAAGCGTAACAAATCCTTCTAGCTGAGCTTCAAGAGATTCTCCTAAAACATGATTAAACATGTTGAACTATAGTCAAAGTAGGTCCTGTCTAATTCGTCTCATATCTTCATTCACTTCATAAACCTCAATTAAATCCTCCCATAAATCCTTGCAGACTCATATTGTCTAAAGCCTTGAGCAATCTCAGGAGATAAGGCTATTGTGAGAGTAGCAAGAGCTCTGCCATGTTCTTCAACCTTTTCAAAATCCTCATCAGTGTAGTTTTCTATCTTCTTATCAATAATAGTGTCGTCATCATCACTCAAATTCGTGGTAATCATGACTGGACCTCTAAGAATGCTCCTCCATATTTTGGTATCTTTCATTTTAATGTATTTTCAATTCTGAATTTAAATTCCGGAAAACCATCAGCAGACAGAAGTCGAGGGATACGAGTGGCAGTTCCCATAATAAAGTCCAACTCTTGATGCATTGAACTGGTGTATTCCATTTTAAATTAGTAACTTCGAAAACGTCCAAAAATAATTAAAGATTGACTGTAAACATATTCGAAAACCCTTTAGGCTTAGCGTTGACCGTAAACTTGAACCTTGACCAGATAAACTCCGAAAACACTAATCTTTTACCGTAAACTCTGAGTTTTGACCAAATAAACTCTATAAACCCTTTACGCTAAACTTTGACCGAAAACTCCAAATTTGACCAAAAATAGCCTCCGTAAACCTTGATTTGTTATTTTGAAATTTTATCCAACACCCTTAAGATTCGTGAATTTGATATATCAGTTCAAGTCTAATCTCGATAAATTAGAAGGATATATCTAAAATTCCGATGAACACGAAGAATGCCAAGACCAATTTCACGAAGAACACGGGAAGAACACTCGAATAATAATCAATAAAAATCTAAAGTTTTAAGATTATAATTTTTCTGAACAAGTCAATACTCCCAAAAGCAGCAAAAAAAACGATTCCAAAGTTCTTGAATGCGATTGATACCCGTTAAAGCTCTGATACCAATTGTAAGTCCCAATACTATGGATCTTATACGATATCAATCTAAATTGCTTAATGAATGCGGAATGTTAAGTAAGCAATGATTCAAGAACACGAAATAACTTCCAGTGCACACGATTCTATTGACAATAAATTGTCTAGTAACAGAAACTCTAATGGCAGCCATGAACAAAACAAATGGAACTACTAAAATCTAAACAAATGAATACATATCTATATATATCGAGTACAATACCACAAAATCCCAACCCATTATGACCGTAATCACTAGGTGATTATGGTTCATCTAACCGTGAACACATTCAAGCTCATCAAAAATAATAATTTAAGCCTAAGAATAAAAATACAATGAGCCCAAGATAAACCACAAAAATATGACCCAACAAGTTGGGATGTCATAACTGATACAAAACATAAGTATAAACTTGTCTTAACTGGCCTTAAAAAATCTTATTATACTAATATCCTACACTTCCTCAAATTCTCTCATCAGATCCAAACATCGTTAT